GCCCGCAGCCCGGGACGGGGCCGCCCCGCCCGCCGCGGAGCCGCCGCCAGCCCCGGCCCCAGCCCCTCGCGTTCCCCGCCCCTCGCCGGCGGGGACGCGGATTCGGCCTGCGCGGAGCCGGCGGAGAGAGGGAGCGCGGCCGGGCGAGGGGAGGGGAGAAGCATGAAAGTTGCGGCGGAGGCGGCGGCGGCGGCGGCGGCGAGCTGGCCATGGCAGCAGCCCGCGGGCGGAGAGGCAGCCGCGGGTTGCCGCTGTGATTGGCACCCCGAGGAGGAGGAGGAGGAGAAGGCGGAGGAGGAAGGCGCGGAGCAGCCGCGGGGCCCGCCATCCCGCGGCGGCGGAGCGGCGGTGCCCGGGAGGATGCCGGGGAAGCGGGGCTCGGCGGGCGGCGGCGGCGGCAGCGAGCTCCCGGGGGCCGGCGCGCCGCGGCAGCGCAGGCGGCGGAGGAAGGTCTCCTGCTTCTCCAGCATCCAGCTCTTCCTGGTGTCCGAGTGCGCCCTGATGCTGGCCCAGGGCACGGTGGGAGCCTACCTGGTGAGTGCGGCCGGCCCGCAGCCCCCCGCGCCGGCGGGGCTGAGCCGCGGGCGGGGGTGCGCGGCGGAGCGCAGGGGAAGTTTCCCCGGCGCCGGGGCGGCTCTGCGGGCAGCCTCCTATCCCGGGGGGTTCAGGGCAGCCCGGCGTTCGGCGGCTGAAATGACTCAGCAGTGCCGAGGGGTCACCCACCCGCTGCCGCCCAAGTTGTGCGGCCGCTCCGCGGGACTCCCGAGCGCCCGGAGCGCGGCCGAGCCCGGGGCGGGCTGGCACCAGCGCGGGGCTCCGGCTGGCCGGGCACTCGGCTCTAGCGCCAGCCTTTCCGCTTCACACGGAATAAATACCGGCAAAAGCTAGCGGGGCATTTACTTCGTGCCTCCCGCGTTACCGCTTTTCCTCATCCTCTTAAGTGATGCAGCGGTGCGAAGCGCAGCAGCCCCCAAAGTCTCGGTGATGGGTACAGAACAATCCAAATAAGACTTTAGCACTAAATCTGCATAGTGAGATGTGGTGTCAGAGGCAGAAGTGTAGTAGAAGAGTTGGGAAGATGTCCATACGGCTGGGCTTGTGCCTTGAAGTGTACAGCCTGTGGAAATGTTCTGCTTCCAGCAGATGTAAGTGTATAGTTGATTTAAATTTCTTAAAATAGCTTGCTGGATTTGAGAATTATAGTTTCCATGGAAAAGAAATGTATTCGTAATCTCTGAGGCTTTTTGAGGCCATACACATAATATATTCTACAGTAAATGTAAGAACTCTGCATTTGGTACTTGTATTCAGTATTTAGCATTGCTTCTTTCACATGCTCAAACTACTTATGCAAATTTGTACTGAACGTGATCTATAATTTTTCAAGGTATGTGACTAAACCAACCATGGTTAATATTCCCTCTTAATATGAAATGGAAATTAGAATTCATCTCCACATAATAAAGCATAAGTTTAGTTTGAAACATAGTTGTAATTCCAAAGGAAACTGCATCATGTCTGATGAGATAAATTCAGCAGTTCTATACCCTAGGTGACTATATGTGGATATAACTTAATTTGTAGGAGCCTGACAGGAACATGCCTGTTTTATGTGAGTAACACCTTAGTAAGTAAATATATTGTTTCCTATGAGCTACTTGCAAAATGAGCTGTCAGTGTGAATGAGTGTAGGATAATCCTTCCTCAAAGTAATAGCCAAGGAAGAGCCCACGGGTGATGTCACCCGGTGGGCACCGGTGTGCCAGGAATGTATGGCTCTGCGAGAGGGCTGTATATCAGCACGCTGCGCCGGGGTGTTGGAGCGTAGGATCAGCAGCATTAGTCCCTAGCGTGGCATTTTCCTCAAACTCCTTTGCATTGCTCACTCCTCGCCAGTTTCGCCTTTCTTTTCCTGTTTTCCCCAACTCCTGGGGCGTGCTTTGTGTGGAGTGTTTCACACACCCCAGCCCCACGGTTGGGAAATGAGCGCTGCGATTCCCAGAGCCTCCCTCCTCCAAGGAGTGAACCCAGCTGAGGTGCTGCTGTCTCTGCTCTCTGCCCTTCTCCAGGTCTGTGTCCTGAGCAGCATGGCAGCGGGATCCACAGGCAGTAACAGGCAACTGGGCAGTGGGGGGAAAGGAAAAAAAAAGCAAACTAAACTCAAAACAATCCCTAGCATGCATAAGCAGTGGCCCAGCTGCACTGGGCAAGTGTTCCTCTGTTCCCTGTATAATTTATCTGCCGTCATTGCAAATACCACAAAGCTCGTCATACAATGAACAGATGCAAATGTGGAATTGTCACTGCAGGGTGAATCTGTGCTTAAAGCAAATCTGCCCAGCACTGTGCTTACAGGTGCTGCAGGGGAGTGAGAGCAGGAGCAGCAAAGATGCTTGCTGGAAAGCACGGAGGACTTAATCATTTTTGCAGACTGGGTGTCCCGTGGGGCCAAGTGCTGTTCTCAGGTGCTGTCATGGGGTGGAATCAGTGGAGGCAGTGCAGAGTTGCCCAGGTGTACCTGCAAGTGGATATTCATTTGCTCAGGCTCCTGGGATGAGTGGGGCTCGGTGGTGGCTGCTGGGCTTCTCCCCGAGGGACAAATTAGCAGGCGAGACCAAGTGGAGAGCAAACAGAAGGGCAGACAAATAGGGAGATGCTGCATAGGACAGGCACAGTGTGTAGTTCTGGGCAGTTGAATAAACTACTAATTTTAGCCTGTCAGCAGTGAGGGAGTTCTGTATTGTAGTTCTGCTTTCCTTGGCCACATGTGTGACTTTCCCTAGTTATTTGTAACTCAGGAAGAGAAACCTTTTTTTGCCTTATACGGCGACAAGTTGGTTTCCTCAGATTTTGTCTTGTTCGGCGCAGCGAGACCATGAGGGCAGAAACTCAGCTTGTTAAGAAAACAAGCCAGGGGCTTGGCTTTTCAGGAGTGCTTGAAGAGCTCAGTTTGGATTGGGCTTGGCTTTCATGTCAGTACATTTAGAAGTGACCATTGTTATTTCTTTTTAGAGATGTAAAAAACCTCCCCTTTTCCACGTTCACTGTGCAATAGACTAGCAGCAGCCACTTGCATATATGTACAAAGTATACATTCATTCATTATGTGGTTTTTAAGCAAGGATCATTCACTTTTATTTGTTCATAAAACATTCTGCTTGCCAGCAGGGCTTTATAAATAATAAATGCTGATAAAAATCTATATAAAGTCCAATTCTTTTCCCACAGAACTCAGCAGTGAAAATACCCCAGGATGCCAGCGGTAGATGTCTGTGTTTAAATAGTGCAGTGTCTCTGAGGTTCTTCTTGTGAAGTTTTAGGGAGTATTTGATCAATGTCACGTTCAAAAATATTTGTCTATTATTATGCTTGCTGTTTGCAAAATGCACATGTTCCAAAATTACTTGGTGCCATATCCTGCATAGTTTATGCAAATACAAGCCTGCGCTGCTGCTTTAATTTCTGGGGCTGCTGAATACACCCTATTATTTGCATATTCGTGTAAGGTTTTGTGTACACATTTATTTGGCTTCATCTAATTACTCCTGCGTGCTTTTGGAAACTTGAATTTCCCAGCAACTGCAGTGGCAGTGGGGAAAATGCTGCTTGTAGTCTGCAGGCATTCCTGCTGCAGAAGTTACTCAGGATTTTTGCAGCAACTTTTTAGAAGCCCAGCTGATTTCCACCTGCAGTTGCTCTCCTGCTGGGCAGTGCATTAAAGAGCTGAGGGTGACTGGTGCAGATGGCACCAGGAGGGAAGGGCTGGAGCCTCTGTTCTCCAGCTGGAGCCTTGTGCCTTTCAGGTGGATGCAGCAGTGTGATCAGTCATGCCAGCCGTGCAGCGATGAGGATTTCGATAAGGCTGATTCACATACCTTGGCAACACTTTCCTGCCTGTCTACCTCCCTCCCCGTGAATTCCTACAAGCTCTATATTTTGGAATATTTTTACTGGTAATAACGTTCCAAGTGCTCCTGACGTTTTGTCGCTGAGGCATTTCATCACCTTGCCAGTCAGATCTTGTGCCTAGCCAGTGAAATCATTGCTTGAGCAGAAGGCAAGGAGCTCTCTCCTTGACAGTCACAGTTTGTGGAGCAGGAGAGCAGTTTAATTTCTCTCCCTGGCCTTTAGCCTCGACTTGCTCTGGTTCAAACTGACCTAGTTGCAAGCATCCAACATCTGCCAAAGTCATGGGCTTCTTTAGATAAAGGGCATGCATATGGGAAGCGCGTTGGGAACCAGTTCTGTGGTGTGCTCCGGGGAGCTGTTTTTACAGAGCTTTACTGAGCTGTCTCTGTTTGCTACAGCTTTGAATGCAGCTATTCATGTGTTTTATCAAGTGATAGAGGATGACTGGCCTGAGCATGGGATGGAAAGGAAAATAATTGGTCCCTCCCAAGGAGGGTGCATTGGTGTTTGCGTGGGAATGAATGCCAAATTGTTTCTTGTTTTGCTGAATGAAAACTTTTTAGCCATGCTTAACTTCCTAGGGAGAGCTTTGCCCATGCAGCAGTGTTTGACTGCAGCCTGCAAAAACTCTCTTAACTAAGTGTCTGCAGTAAAAGTAGTGCTGTGTGACTCCAGGTGAGAGTGTGTGTGTGTATGTGGTCTCTGAGACAGGCGCCTTCTGTGCGGGTTTATTGCTGCTGGGGTTTGAGATATCAGTGAAAATCTTGAAAGTCCATCTTCAGGAAAAAGATAAGTATCAAATATAAATACAGAAGTTAATGACCAAAGGGTTCCTGGTGGAACAAACAGAAATAGGGGCTCTGTGTGATGGACAGCTGGGAACTGAGGGGTTAACAGCAAAATTTGGCTCTTGGATTTTTTAAGTTGTTTTGATGTGCAACCCCTTCCTCTCCCATGTTAAATATAACAAATACAATACTGTGTTCTGTGGTACAGACCTGATCAAACCCTCCTTGAAATCTGGCAAGATCCTCATGGAGGATGTCATTAAAGTCAGTTTTAGGAATACTGCAGTGCTCCAGAGCTTTCTGTTGTCCTTGGTGCTGCACAGAAGAATTTGCCTCTGTGTATTTGCAGTCTGAATAGATGGGGTGGGAGAAGTGTCACAGGTGGAGAAACTGAGACACAGATTAAGAGCTTGATTCTGTTTCTGGAGCTATTGATAAAGCATTTGGTTGGTTGGCAGCAGCAGAGCCTGAATGGCTTAGGCATGGGCAGACGTAACTATAAAAGTAGTTTTTCTGTTGTAATTTATTATTGTTTTTAATAAAGTATTTGTTTTTCTAGAATAAGAATCAGCTTGAAAATATTGCTGCCTTTTTTTTTCTCTCCATCCTCAGCCATGCTGAGTAATAAATTAGCTGTAATGTTCATAATTTATTTGTCACTGGGGTAGTTAAAGGGAAAGAAACCCATGGAGTGAAAATAAACGTTTTAGTGGGGGTGAGTATTGCCAAGCATTGGCTGGTTATTGCTTACCGTTCATTTTCCCTTAATATATCTTTGCTGGCAGTGTTATTTCTGGAAAGTTGTTTCTAGTGTGCCTTTCCCATTAGAGAACATTG